TTGTAGGATGAGGGTGAGAGTGGCTTTCCTTTTACAGTGACAAAGTCAGAATGGTCACAGCATAGGACAGTGCACATGAAAAGCCAAACTTTAGAACTCTTTCAATATTTTGTTTGTAAGTGGCCCCTTAAAGCAAAGTGAAATAAATTAAGAAATGAGCTGTTGGCTTTTAAAAACTACTCTAGATTACAAGTAATAACAATCCCTAGACACCTCACCTGCTCCCCACCCCCCAACCCCACCCAGCACATAATCCTTTTATGTCCTAGAAAGGCCACCGGAGAGAATTCTGGGAGTGGTTACAGCGTCACACAGACTAGGCCCAAGGTAGGGTTCTGTTAATAGAATCGTCAAAAACTTTCTCTTGTGTTTCCCAGAACATCCTCTAATATTAAAAGAGAATATTTTTGATGATGAGCTTGCGGCTTGCAGACCTGGGTTTTGTATTCTGTACTGGGAAAGAGCAGGAGTAGCAGAGAGAAAGCAGGCTAGCTTTCCAGCCCAGTTTTCTCCCGGGCTAACTTAGCGAGTGCCTCTGACTTTCCCCTGCTTGTCCCAAGCTGGCTACTCAGAACCCAAAATCTTGTGTCTTCTAGATGTAAATGCCACTGCTTGCACAAAGTCTGGACCACCAAAGACCACAAGAGATGAGATTCCTCGAGGGCAGTGACATTGCATATGTTTGGTTGTTTACGTTTGAAGAGATGCTGATCACAAGATTTTATTTGATAGTTTAAACAGTGTGATTTTTAAATTTCACCACTAACTTTTCACCAAAAAATATGGACCAAACTATAGCAGTAGGGACTCAACATGATTTGCTTTCCTGGAGATTTGCAGAAAGATACCTGACACACTTCTGTCTAGCTTGGTTTGATGCGGAGTAGGAGGAGAATGGACGAACCCTGAAGCCCTCCCCAGGTTTACATCCCGTGTGGCATTCACCTCTGCTGGGAAGCCTCCCCACTCCTTCCCACTTGAAGTCCTCTGATATAAGAGAATGAGTACCTTTCTCCTCTGGGTGCTCAAAACAGGGAAAAAAAAAACTATACTTAAAGTGAATTACTTATTTTAAAATGTCAGCTATTTTCCCGACTATGTCTTCTGCATCATACTGCTCGCATCCCCATGCCTTACCAGTCTGCCACACATCACAGTAAATATTTGGTGACTGAATAGGTAAAGATTGAATCCGCTGATTCCAAGGAAATGGTAAGAGTCTGGTCCTAGTGGTTCTATTTCAAACAAGGATTTGTTCTGACTTTTATGTAAATTCCATCACAGTTTTCACAGCAGTCCCCTTGTAGCCTACTAATATCACATCTGCTTGTATTTAAAAGGTCGTCTTCTTTGAGTTGTACTATATATTTAACAAAACACAAATGAGGGAGTTCTGAGGGCCTCAATGAGGAGTCATCATCATCTGCTGCATTTCCTGTGTTTCTACACCAAGTCACCTGGGCCACTGGGGAAAGGCAGACTTTCTATTGCCTATTTTCTGGTGTATCCATCCTAATCAGAAAACACCTTTAAAAAAATGAAGATGCAAAGTAACCCGAAGAAAAAACAATACCTGACAGTGTGCATCATTTCACCTGAGGAGCCTATCCCAGGAAATACTTAAGAAATAAATTTTGGGAGGAAGGGGGAGTAATTAAGTAATGTTACAGCAAGTGTAATATGGTACTTTTCTCCTTAAAAGTTATCTCGTCATGCTTAATGAGTGTCCTTTTGAACCATGAGTACATTACCTGATGTGCACTACCACTAAGCAGTAATTCATTCATTCATATACATAGCCTTATCCTTTACAAATGTTTTCCTTAGAACTGCACTAAAATCTTACTAGGTCAGCATATTAAACACACACACACACACACACACACACACACACACACACACACACACACATTGCTAAAAATAGGAAACCCAAAATTCTGAAAACAGTAAAGTTTCAAATGGCAATTTTGGGAAATTTCTCCAGCAAAACTTTTTATATAATTTCACTTCTTATTCAAGATATATCAAGAACGCACACTTTTAATTTTTTTTTTTTTTTTTTTTTTTGGTACCAGCGATCGAACTTGGGTCCTTGCACTTGCAAAGCAGATACCAGAACCACTGAGCTAAATCTCCAGCCCTAAACGTTTTTGATCTTAAATAATTATGTAAACCTCTTTGTCATGTTGCAACCCGTGCTGTCCCAGGATGAAGGGAGTGACAATGCAAGAGAAGGAATATCACTAAAATATTCATTTATTTATTTACTCTTTCATTGCTCTTGCCTTCCTAACCCTTAGGTCCAATCTTCAGTTTTCAACTATCCTTGCACCTTAATCTTTTCTTCTGGAAAATAGGCCAGATCATCTTAGCAACCAAGGCCGTGGTAGAGACAACAGAGGAACATTGCTGGCATGCCCTGACCCATCTGGGTCTGGTAAGATTTTGACTTCCCCATATTTTGTACCCCTATATTTTGCCTTCCCCCCTATTTTTGTTCCCTATAATGAAACTTTGAGAAAAAAAATCTTTTATATATCAACTTTTATACAGATCAGAAATGTAGAGAGAACATTCAATAGGCTGGCTAGGCTAGAGAGAGAAAACTATGAACAAGATTTCTTCCTCAGATTTCAGCCCCATGGATGTACGCTCCCATCCTGGAATTGCCACTGACTTGGCGTGTGTCCTGCTCTTACCCTTCAGCTTCCATTGACAGACTTGGCCTGAAGGTGAAAGCTGTTTTGAACCCTCTGTTGCCAGGGGGCAGGATGTACTCAGGCATGCCTGTGGGTGACAGTGATAGACCCTTCCATTCTCCGTGCTCTTGGGATGGAGGGCAGGGTGCAGGACAGTCTCCTCCTCCAAACTGTTTAGTACTCACTTTCACCCAGTGAGAGGGCGTGGGACCGTGGTGGGTGAGCATGTTTTATCTCCTGGGTAATGCTGATCAATTCCATAGCAGCTGCCTAAGGGCTGGGTTAAGAAAGATAATGAGGCCACATCTGGACCCTAACACAGACTGCTCTCCTGGATTAGTGATGCTGGTCACAGCGTAGATGAGAAACCTAGTGTGTGACATGCTCAGTTCCTGCCATTCCAGCTCTACGCACTCGGCCCATATCAGAATTTCACTCAGTTCAAAAACTGAATTGCATAAGTTTCTTCCTCTTACTGTATCAGACCAGGGGCGGAGGATTCAAAGTTTTCTAAATATATACTTCCGTGTGGAATCCTTTCATATAAAAGCTTGTAAAGAACACTCTTCCCAGTGAGTCAGGCTAAAGATCAACTTAATGCGCCCAGCGTCCCCTCCTATTTCCGTGGGCACACAGTAAGAACCCTTTCCCGAGAGCATTCAGAATGAACTTATAAAATGCCGCTAGCTTTTCCACAAAAGCAAAGCATCAAAGCTCTTCTTCCCACAGGCGACCCCAGCAAGGATCACTTAAGGGTCCCACTGGCTGTGCAGCTTCTCTCTTCCATTCCAGCACGTGCCAAGTTCCCCTGTCCCCTCCTGTGCCCCTCCACAGGTCTGTACATCCAACACAACCCCAAGATCGGGAGTGACAACATTCAGATTCAGTCGCAGACCTTCTCTCTCAAACCATTTAGGAAAACCTTGCACAAATTCATTTCACAATGGCAGAAATACAAATTCAACGTATCTCCCCTGCTAAAATAAAGCTGTGTTCTGGGGGCTCAGCAAACTCAATATAACAAATCAAACCTATTCTTTTTTTGATTGTTTCTACTCTTCTCAGCCAGAATGACCCTTTTTTTTCTAAAGTATCAAAAAAGTCCATTTCATAATCCTTATCTAAAGAACTACTTTACAAAGAGAAGTGCGTCATTAAGCGCCAACAGGCTCCACTTCTAGTTTTGTAATCACATTTACTATATTTCCAAGGCAATCTTCCTCATCAATTCCATTTCCCTAATCAAATTACATTGTTTGAAAAGGCAATTTTAGTTAATACATGCTGTACTCTGCATCACAGTAATGCACCTCCTTGTTCGTCCTCCACCCGGCTCATCCAGAGCATTTATGCCATTTATAAACTGCGACAGCCTCTCCTCCTGCCTCCTCTGATTGAGAACAAATCACTTAGGCCAGAGTAATTTAAAAAGTTTCCTCACAAAAACTTCAATGGTTATAATGGCATAACAGCCTAAGGGAGGAAAAAAGTAAGTTAAAATAAGAGAATACGTTAAAATGGGCTGCTTTTCGCAAGATTTCAAGAACTATTTCTTCCTTAGTGAAAGGCCAATTGGCTTCCAAAACCCAAATATGGAGATCATTTAAGTAAATGGCAGGAAGGACACTGAAAGTGACCACAGATGAGCATGTAAGACATGAGGTTGTTTCTCCTCCGGATTGGTGACAGAAAGAGCCCTGCATGCGGAGGCCCAAAGGCAGCCGGATGGAGGTCAAAAGAGCACTGAGGCTGAGGCACGGAGTGAAGTTCTGTTGCGACTTTCTGCCTCATCCGAGCCTCCCTACACATGGCATCTCATGAAAAAATTAAAGGTAAACGACTGTGACACATACCGTAAGGTGACAGCCATTAGCTACATTCCGGCCAAAAGGATGTCCTGTGTACTATGGAATATTAAATTGGATTTTTGAAATGGGGTTCCAAAATAGAAACCATGTTAGAGGAACATGTTTATGATATCCAGGTTATCTTTTTGAGTGTGAAAAATTATTTTCTATAGAAGCCCAATTCCATGAAGTGCAGAGAAAGTAAGGCTAAATTAACAAAGACGCTCTGTGAAAAATATTCCAAAAACCACTGACCTAGACTTTTGAAGGTTTCTTTCCAGGAAATCAAATTTAAAATAATATCTCATTAGTCATCTGCAAAGTGCAAAAATGCCTTATCTCATGCTCTCAACCTTCTCATTTTTGCCACAGTTTCTCTTGCTTTGCAATAAAAATAAAACAAAACCAAAAGTTATATATTTTTATTTAGCTTAAGAAATTTAGGCACCAGGGTTGGGACAGATCTCACAGGTAAATAGTTGTGTTTCCTAATAGACTGAATACATTTCATTGCCATGAAATGCCATCTTTTACTCTGAAATGCCAATCAGAATAAAAAGTAACTGTTTTTGGCTTTTGTTTTACAAAATCAGGGCCTTAAAATAAGTTCTTAGATATAAGCCTGGACGCAACTAGCCTGTTGATAATGGATCTAGTTCAAAACACCACAAAACAATATATGTTTACATCACCCTTTTATTTCATAGTTAGAAATAATACAGTTCCATGGGTAAATCATCAATAAATAATGGTGTTTAATCATTAAATGTAAAAATCCCAATTCTTTGGCATCTGACAGGATTCTAATTCTTGTCAAACTAATAACTGTATAGATATAGTTAATCTTAGTGATCATTCATCAGTACAATATGTTACAAAGGTGCAATTTACTTTAAAATATACAACAGCTGAAAACATCCAGCCCTCCAAGAAATCTGATCAACTCAGTACAATCCAGGCAAACTCTCCAAGGCTCTTTCACATGGTTTGCCTTAGTGAAAATATAATAAACATTGATTAAGAGTTCTAGGGTTTCCTAATACGTATTGTGCTCCAAAGTTTGCCACTGATTCTGGCTAAAGAAAAATCACAATTGTACCAGGAACGACCCACTTGTTAATTAAAAGGTGTTCTTATTTTATAGGAAAGGTTGCTAATACCTAAGAAACTCTCAGCCCCCGAAATAAAACATAAAACAATTCTGTGTTGCCAAAAATGACAAATCAGTAATAAATTGCACCTTCAAAAGTCAAAAAAAGGAAAAAAAAGAAAATAGGAATGTTTACAAAAGGGAAGTTACATAATTTTTTTTTTTCAAAATATATTCAAGAATAGTTGAGCTGCATTTGCTACTAAAGCCAGGGCATTATTTCTTTAGCAACAAATTAAACCAGTGCAATTGACATAAATTGTTAAGTAATCCGGGATTAACCCATTAAAATTATAGAAGCACCTCAGGCTTCCACTATAACCCTAGACACTGGGAACTGAAAGAGTGCTGTGTTGTACAGAACTGAAACTGGAACGACCCAAAGCCATGCTGAATGGTATCATTTCATACGTACTTTAAGCATTCAATAGTAGAAATCATGAAATCCTCTATTAAAGTTCTGTTCACTTAACAGAAAATTCAGACACAAACATTAGTATTCCTATAATCCACAATTAAAAGAATCCTTTCCATTTTAAAGTTCCATATGAATTTTGAATTAGAAAATAAGCACTAAGGAAACTTTTTCAATTTATGAAAACTTCACATCGGAAACTTTCTGGAAAAGCTTCCCCCCCCCATTGTAAAATAAATACTTTGTATCCCAAATTTAATTTTATTAAGACACACTTTAATAATGCTATAAAGAAATATTTTACAGCCATAGAGATCAATAACTTTCCATGCGGAAATAAAAAAACTCATTGCTCAATATCATTGAGGCAAGTGAAGAAAGGTTATTCTCTTAATCTGAAATGTTAACTCTTTTCAGTGCAAAACCAGTTATAAAATATTTAAACCTAATATTTAAAAATAAAAAGTGGTCCAATTCATCAATGTTCAAGTTCTAAATTTCATAAAACAAATCATTACATACACTTTATAGTAAAATACAGAGATTCGAGAAGTACTTATGTACTTAAGATATAAATTTCTAACGAATCATACCAAGTCAGCAACAACCAAGCAGATAACATTCCCAATTTGAGTGTCAGAATCAGTAAAGATGAAATTACCGTACCAAAGCCTTTTTCCTAGCTAAAGAGCTACACAAACGGTCAACATTCTGTTTTCTTTGCAGTTGCGTGCTCTAGGATGATATCCCCCCCTCCCAAGTACCTGTGATTTCATTCCTGTATTCAAAATTTGATCCAATTTTTATGTTCTAGGAACACTTAGCTGATGTAACCATCTAGAATGTGGAGAGAGTCATGTACAGAGTACAACAGTGGGTTTTCTCTAGCCAAGTGGAGGCTGACCTAAAGTGGATTAAGCAGTGCGAGCCACTCATGTGTTATTCCTAGCAAATACTCGGTCCCCTCGGAGGGTTAGGTGTTGAAGCTGGTACTGTAGCACTTCTGTATCGGCTGGCTCCTTGATGTTCATTTTATCTAGATTGAGGTAGTCCAGAGATTTGGAGTGAGCCCTCTTACCTTTAAGAAGACATAGAGGCAAGGGCCCGTGGAGGGCCTTATAAGGTTCATAAGGTAAAGACTTAGTGCACTTGTCTCCTGAGCTGGGCATTCGCCTTCGCCTCCGGCCATTGACAGCTGGGATCTCGTACGGCTGGTAGTACCTACTTCTGGTTTTATACAAGCGAGAGGAGCGCCCAAGTCCTGCATCCAGCTGTTTAGAGCGCAAGGTAGGCATGGCTTCTCCCTTGCTCTCTTCACCTCCGGTGCACTTCTGAGCTAATTTCAGGAGTTCCTCACCAGTCGTGAAGCCAACCAAGTAGTTAGAGTCCATGTGCAGGATCTGGTAGCCTGACACAGTCCGACGCATGGGTGAGCACGGCGTGCTAGAGCAGCGGGGCTTTTCCGCCTCTCCTTTTCCCGGAGAGCTGACCTCAGCCACAGGCAAGGGCAGGGTGGTCAGGGTACTTCTGGACTCTCCATTTATATCTACTTCCATTTTAGGCACCAATCTGCACACTCCTAAAAGTAAACAGACTCAGATTAGAAGAGTAGAATGCACAGAAGTTTGGGCCGGGGCCAGATGGTGTGCAAAGTCAAGGGGAATGGAATCACACTAGCCTGAAGGACAGCGGACATACAATGGCAGATTATTACTTATATCTATTAAGCATTTCAGAGCAGGCATGAAAGGACCATTACCTCCCTGCCTTCAAGAACTCACAGGCAGGTTAAATGAAAGCCTACATTGATATGAAACTTCCCCAGCGGAGAAGCAAACAGAAAACAGTATTTCCCTAAAACACAGCTCTCCCTTCAACCATGTAAAGTTTATTCCTTGATGCAGTATTAAGCAAATCAAACATAGATTTTAACATTATGCAATTAAGAGCAAGCACACAGACTTCCACACAAATCCTCAAAACATTTCCATCTTGAAAATTAAATGTTTCCCTCATTCAATTTAAAATAAATGTTTAGCTAGGTGGGGTAGTGGCACACACCTGTAATCCCAGCACTCAGTAAGCTGAGGCAGGAGGATCACTGCAACTTTGAGACCAGCCTGGGCTACATAGTGAGTTCCAGGTCAGTCTGAACTACGTAGTGAGACCGTCTCAAAAATAAATAAACAAAAAATAAATGTTTAACTCTTCATAACTGTTAATCTTTTCCATTGTATGTAAGGGACATATAATATACTAATTGATAAACTGATCAACTTTTGCAAAGAATCCAATTTAAACCCAAAAAATTACTTTTTAGATACATAACAGTCTTTGAAAAAGGTTCTCCCAAACTTTGTAAACATTCCTCTTTCCACATGAATTATTCCTAATTAAAGAAAATCCTAATGATTCATTCCTACTGAATTAAACAAAGTCATTTTGCAGCTCAAAAGTTAATCCTGACTCAATATTTCACGTACCATTTCGTATTGATATAAAATATTAAATGTTATTTTGTAAACACACCATGTTTTGTTTTATTTTGCAATGCCCATATCATTATTTTGAACTTTTTAATATACAGAAAAATGACTAACACAGAATACTAATACTGTTCATTACAGTTATCATATTACATAGTTTGGAAAACCCCACCACCAAAAAGTACTACAAATAATGGCTAGACTCCTAGCAAGTTGCAGATAAAACAAATTTTAGAAAACAAAATATGAGCCAGAAATGGTGGTGTACACCTATAATTCCAACACTCAAGAGTCTGAGGCAGGACTACTGCTGCAAGATTGAAGCCAGCCCGGGCTGCACAGTGAGTTCAAGGCCAGCCTGAACTATATCAAGAGACCCTCTCTTAAAAACCACGGGGGGAAAAAAAAGGAAACAGAGACAGCTATCATTTTGAGACACTTTATTTCCACTGATCTTCAATCGCAAGTGGGTTACACAGCTTTAGGTAACTATCACAGATTGCTAGTCTAAATGTCAAATAATTGAGTTTACAATGAAAAATTTACTAAAGGGCAATCATATCACATAATTCTTATGAATCCTTTTAAACAAATGACTATTTGCTAAATGAAACATTCCCTAAGGTTTTCGTATTCTAAAATTCAAGCAATTAGAACATTAAAAACATAAAACAAAGGAACAGAACTTTATTCCTTGACTTGCATGCTCTACCTTCCTTCGCTAGGAGACTATGAGGTTACCAGATGCCATCCTGTCCTTACTATGATTCCCACCTACAGCACAACAGAAAACAAACGCTCATAATTCTTCCTGAAATAAAGCAAATGTCAAAGGGATCAACACAGCCAGGGATCATTATTTACTCTGAACCTCACACTATTTCCAATTTTGACTTAGCCAGACTACCCTTGTTTCGCAGCCCTTCTAGATTTAAAGTAACTGGTTTTATATTTTACTAAAATAAAAATAAATGTATCTTCCATTGTGCAACTTGTTTCTTTATTGATAGGATCAAAATACTGATTACCAGCTACTTCGAGTGCATTTAAGATTTCTCAGCTAACAGACATCAGAGCACTACATGAAGCATTACCAAATTTTCCTGCTGAACAAACAAATGTTTTTCCTAATCCGAATGACACAATAATCCTTCCTTCTCAATTAATTCTCCAACCTAGGAAGAGCGCAATAGGACAGATCCAAGGCCTCCAACCTACAAAACCTGATGGCCAGCTACAGGCCGGAACTGTTTCTCCTGAGACTTCATTCTGAAGGACGAAGAAAGGAGGGTTTCTGAGATAGAAACAGCTGTGAGACAGAAACAGGGCTATGGGCAAAGACTAAGCACCAATCCGCAGGAAAGCCATAGCCAGAGACACTGGAGCAATGGGTCCACAATGGGACACTGGTCTGGGTCCCTTTCAAATTTGGCGCTCAGCAAGAATCCGTCATCTCTACCAACCACATTATGCTCAGCTGTTCTTACACTCAACAAAAGTGGGATAATAATTCATACCAGCATCAGGCTGACATTCATCCTTTTTGTCTAAAAGGGATAATAAGTGCCAAGCAAGATAACAGGGGACAGCACTGCGGTAAAGAAGAGGGGATGGCCTTCTGCGGCACACAGAAGCACAAAAGTATGTTCGCACTTTCAACAAATCCTGCTGTCCCACGGCCAACCATCGGAGACTCTTAGAATCTCTTGGGGTTGAAAATAAAGGGTGGCAGGACACAACGGTTTAGAGAAATAGGCAGAAATAACATTCCCATTTGAAGAAGTAGTCTAGGTGCCTTCAAACTCCAGAACTGTGCCAAAAGTGACACTAAACACTGAACAGCCTCAAAGACAGCAATCCCTATTCCTCATAGACGTTCTATGGGTAAGCACTACTGCATGTGGCTAGCCCATACTGACAGGAGGATGTCCAGTATTTTCTACAGCAATTTTTTAAACCTTGTTTTGTTTTCTTTACTTGTTTGGGGTGAAGGTACTCATACATGCTAAGCACAGGCTTTTTACTACTAAGCTACACAAGCTCCATTTTTGTTGCTGTTGTTAAAATGCATTCATTAGGAAATTCAACTGCAGTGACAACTGTGAGATGACCTGTGTTCTGCAGCATATTCCCCAGGTTTTACGACAAAAAAAAAAAAAAACTGCATATGGACTTAGCAATACTATTCATGACTCAACATTTTATTTAATATTCTAAAATGAGCTGGTATCCAAAAAGCATACTGCCAACATGAAGGATTACAGAGCACCCTTACAAATACTACTCGCAGGTGTGTGCAGTCACTATGGTTTTCCATGCATCAATAAACAGTGAATCAAGAAATCAGATCCTCTAATGCCTACATGTAGTCTAAAGCAAAAGACTAGAAACAGAAAACTTCTAAAAAGTGTTAATGTTATAGTAACAGAAGCAGCAAATTTTCTGCAGATGTAAGTATAGAAAGAAAAACCTGAAAAGTCATCTTGAAGTTAAACAATGTTTCTTTCACGTTAAGTAGAAAATCTGTTAAAAGTTTGGGTCCAAGCCAAGGTTCCCCAAAAGATAACGTTATTGGGCATCCATACCACAGCCAGTCCCCCTGCTACAAGGTGTTTGAGTTGGTGCCAACTTCAAGAAACAAGTTTCACTGAGCTCCATGTCGAGAGCTCGATCCTGCTTGCTAAGTTCTCTAACTACAAATAGTAGAGAGCTCTTGGGATCTATGAAAATTTTTATAACTATTTCCCTGATCAGATAACTTCGACCCTTTTACATCCCTCACTAACCTCCTTCAATGATTGTTTTATTTTTCCTGTTTTTGAAGCCTATAAAAATAATACATGTAGAATGAAAGATACCTAATTCAAGTAATTCATAACGATGTACTAGAAAAGACAAAATCCCTTTCCAGCTCTTAGCAATGCCAGACACATCTAGAGAAACCTCTATTTTGATGTATCCTTCCTTTTTCTATGCATTTATAAATGTGAGTGTGGGTGTCCACTTATTATGACCACAAAACACACACACACACACACACACACACACACACACAATGTATTTCCACAGAAATGCCAAAAGTAAAAATGTTCAAAGAAAATATACTTTTAAATCTGTATAGCAACCTATCATACAGCTTTATGTAACATGTTATTTTTACAAGAAGAATGAATTTACATTTCCTACAACTAAAAATTAATGTAAATGCTTTTAAAAGTACAACCTACAGACTCACCAACAGAGTGCCCATTTCTACTCTCACTGCTTCTAAGCAGAAATTACTGAAAACAAAAGAAAGATGATGTGGTCACAAGATGCTGTGTCTGATTTTTCTCAGAAGGAAAAGATAAACGAGAAGGGCATCATGCCCATTCTTTGACGTCAAATCTCTGCATTTTTCACCTACAACACTTCAATATTTCTTGAAAGAAATTCACAAACTACATGTCACATTTCCTTCAAGAAAAAGGGAAATAACTCATATGAAAAACACAGTGTACACCTTCAAATTACTGGGTGCAGTATGCAACTGCCCAACCTGAGTATTCTGCCTGAGACTACAGCAAGCAGGCCCAAGCCAGCACACACATACACCTTCAGCCACCAGATGCCCAGGCGGTCAAGAGACAATCATCCACGCACCTTCTACACAACACTCTCCTCGAGGCCATGCTTCCCACACACTTGGCACCAAAAGTACTACTTTGAAAATATAGCACAGATACCTCAGCTCTTTAGACCAGCTCTGAAAATGGCAGATAGGTTTCACAACTGCCATACAAGGAGTTCTTTTTTAGAAGTACTGAGTTCTGAAAATGTTTTAAAAATCAGGCTTATCGGGAAAATTCACCAGTAAGCAAAGCACTGCTTTATATTCTTTAGTGGTATTTAGAAACATATAGCAATACCATGTAAGAGAACACAGACATGAACATAACCTTCGTAAATATACAAAAGAAAAACGTCATCGTATTAACAAAACCACTCAGAAAAGATCATTTTTTTTGTGTGTGTGAGGTGGGGTCTGGAAAGTACCACTGATAATGAGTCTATGGATGGCTAGAATCATCTAGTTTCAATGCCACAATGTCTTGGAGTTCACCTGCCTGTATCGAAGACACTGAAGCCAGGGAGGTGAGGGCTTGCCTGAAGCCACAGGTAGTTAGTGACCTTAACTACACCTCAAGCACACTGGCTCCACGTCTAGCGCTCCTTTTATATCATCGTACTGGGATTCCAGTATGTGGCTCCCAAACTCGTCTATACAATGAAATCATCCAAGGAGAGTCATAAAACTAGGGTGTAGCTTGGGTTCTGAATTTTTTAAAAGAAGCCCAAAGGATTCTAATACACACAGAGGTTTAGAAACTTGTCAGACAGAACTAATCAGAGGAATTTCACTCCTTTAACTTCCCACCCTTCTTTAGTCACGTTGGTGAACATACTTATTGTCTTCTAATTTACTGTTTCTAATGCACAGTGAGCTGAAAATATTTGCTAACCAAACTTATTTAAAGTGGATATAACATAAAAATAAATCTGTGCTGGGCTGGGGATTTAGCTCAGTGGTTCCACCACCTGCCTCGTAAGAGCAAGGTCCCAAGTTCGAACCCCAGTACCAAAAAATAAATAAATAAAATAAATAAATAAATCGGTGCTGAATGAGATTGAAGAAACTTCACCTGCATACACTTCAGTATATTAGCTTATTAAAAACTTCTGTAAGGGCAGTTTCTTTGAAAAACAATTTGGAAATTTATAGAGTTGAATACACACTTATTCAATAACCCTGCCATCCTACTCCTATGGGTACTCGAGAAAAAAGAAAATACAAGTCCACAGAGAGACTTGAACATGAACGCTCACAACAGTGTCATTCCTAATCACCATGAACCTGAAACAAGCCAAGCATCCATCTCAAAGAAACAGATGAACAAACTGCAGTCCATCCACACAATGGAATGTCGTTCAGCAACAAAGAGGTACAAATTAGGAATACAACAAGAAAAAGAAGCAGACCAAAAAAAAAAAAAAAAAAACGCTATATACTATGTGATTTCATTTACATGACATTCTAGAAAAGGTAAAACTATTGGGCTAGAAGTTAATGACTGCCAAGAGCTGGACTGGTGCGAGAGAACAGAGGACAAAGGGAATTGGGCGAGTTGAGGTGAATATTGTATGAACTGACTATAGCAGTCAGTACAAAACCGGATAAACACGTCAAACTATACAACTTCAGACTAAATTTTGCTGGGCATGGTGGTGCAGGTCTATCATCCGAGCCCTCAAGAATGTGGAGCAGATGGATCGCAAGTACAAGCCCAACCTCGAAAACCCGGCAACCTAAAGAAAATCTGTGTAAAATAAAAAAATAAAAAATGGGTGAAGGATGTATGTAGATCACTGCAACAACCCTGGGTTCAATCCAAAGTAACAGTGGGATCTTTACTGTGCATAAGTTACACTTCACCAAGCCTGATGTAAAAAATAAAGAAGTCTTTGTCACATATTTCCAAGTTTTAGATAGTACTCCCAACTTTATAATTTTTTGGCCCATAAAATCTTAAGTCACAAGAATCCTAATGGTTATGCAGCACATATCTGATCACCTTCAATGACAGACAATTTGCTTCCTCCCAAGCTGATTCATTTCCCCTTTTATCGCTCTGCTGGAATGTCATTTTACTTACAAGTATAACACATATACACAAATATAACACAGACGAACACAGAGCCGATTTAGACAGACACACACACACATTCCTGTAATTTCTATTGGTTGCTCTAGGTTGAGTTACTGACTCAGCCACATTGTTTCTTACTGAATTCCCTCCTAAACGTGCTCTGTACTTCAGACTTTCAAGCTTCTTGCTCTTTCCCCCTAAACTGGAAATTCTGGTAGTGTTTCTATTTCTTCAACGTTTTAAAATGCCTTTTTTATAAATCTGTGAGGCTAAATCTACTTAACAATAGCAGTGTTTGTTTGTGCCCATCAATCCTTTGAATCGTTCTGGGGCTGACCACTAATTTTGAAAATGCTTAGCATGAAACTGTTTTTCCCAAGGATTGTGACCTCTCTCAGTAATTCAAAGCAAGGACAAAGATATTGGCCAAGTAGACTGACATATCAAAGCATGACTCACAATATAGTTTTGAAAATGCAAAAGAGCTACAAAGACCATTATTAATTATTTTCTCTTTCAAAGACTTGGGGTCATGCAGACAACTATGTCAGCATAGACACGTGACATATTTTTAAAAAGACAACTAAAGGAAGCAATAGCACTGCACATGTTTAACAGATTAAATTCATAGTGAGATAAAAAGAATGTCACACTCTTAGTGACCTGCTATCCAACTAAATGAAAATGATTCTCCATTCAACCACCTGTTAGCCTTGCATTATGTATATGCAAATTATTTCACCAATTTTTGGAGATTATAAATTTTACTAAAATTTCCCAAGTTAGAGCAACCATTTATCTTCAATTACTACATATCTTGAAATATTATTGCTTATGAACTCCTTTATCTCACAGGAATTTTTACAAAGGAAAATATATTTAATCATTCAAATATTTCAAATGTTAGCATATTGTAATGATTTTAGTTTTAACTATTAAAAACCTCATGGCATTGTCTCTGCAATGATACACTGACATTTCATATATGCACCTATTTATTCAATCCTTAACATACATTATATTATGTTCATACAACTAGTTAACAATACGCAAAAAGCAAAATACAACTCACCAGACTAAATCTCAGAAGATGTCACCGTACAAGCTCCAAAGAGTCCCAAGGGAGCACAGGCATAATAATTTTTCTGTTCTACTCCAGATACTAAACATGAAATACAAAAATAAACCAGGAATTTAACAAGTAACAGAATTTAGAAGGCAACTGTATCAACTGTAACTGCAAAACAGGATGAAACTAGCAGGAGGTACTGATGACACCAGATATAGGTTATAAAGGATACAATAATTAACTCATTCATTTAAGTAATTCTGAGTGTGTGTTCAGTCCAGTTCTTTCAAACATCTTGCCATGCTGTGTCACTATATTCTGTTGCTTAAACTCTTCCTAGAAACTAAGAATACCTAACTAGGCTAAATACAGGAACAAGAAAATTAAAACGACTTAAGCGGTGGTTTTTCCACCCAAATCTTCTTCATGTGTTCAACAGATTCACAGAATTTTATGGAAAAAAACAATGCTAAGGCTGACATAAAAAAATCTCTGCCTACGACTTGCCAAGTTCTCTGCTTCCTGACCTTGCATAAATAGCAATCTTTAAAATAAGGTCAATAATCCTATCCTTCCTCCCTAATACAATTGTTATGTGGATCAAATGAGATGAGGTAGGTGGACGTGTTCTGCATATTGTAAAGCCCTTTACAGATATGTGATGTTATTATTATGCAATTAATTTCTGGTGCCTACTCATTTGAACCATAAAACAGTAACAATAAAATTTATTTGTAAGACAGCTGCAAGGAAAATAATCAAAAGGTTCTTGGAAAATATTATTTAAAAAACAGAAAGACACTTCTTTGTTGCCACTTACTTAAAGGTTTCTAGAATCTCCTCTGTGCCTTCCCCTCTTGCCTGGGGAATTAATGTGCAAGAGAATCTATCTTTATCTCCTGCCTCCCCAGTTAATTGGGTTAATTTGCTGAGACCAAGAAAACTCCCCAAAGCTCTTTTCCACTTGTAAAGGTTTCTTTCCTTGTTAAGTATTCTGTGGTAGCATGTTTCTTTCCTTGTTAAGTATTCTGTGGTAGCAGCCAACTTACAGTGGGGGGGGGGGAGCGCCAATGGGCTGAGAGGCTTGATTCTGTCTACACAGGTACTGGCAATAGTAGTAGGCAACCAGTTCTTAAACTAAAGACAAAAATCGAGGGAAAACACAAAAAGTCTGTTGCTTTATTATTTTCTGAAAATAGAGAAAAGCTTTAGCAAAAACGAAATGGACAATCTACTAAATTAAAAGTATCTGCTCCCTCAGCTTGAGAAGCCAGAAGGAACTCATGCAATGACGTGGTCACTCAGCGAAACTAACATGGCGATCAGCCTTTAGAGCATCTTTCAATGAGCACAAGAGACATGGCCCCTTTTCATTTATTTTGCCACCAACTATTTTTAAGTTGGCTAACCAAGAAATCTAGATAATTGGGACTTGGTTTTTATTCAACAACGAAGTCTCTGGTTTTACCATAAAATGAACTGTAATGCAATAAAAATTGTTACCTGATATTTTTTTTTTTACTTTATAAAACTGCCCTCAAAAATATCCCCAATGTTATTGTTATAAAGTTCACATCAGTATCTTACATGAGTGGAGTTTTAATGGGGAAATGGGAGTAAAAAGAAACTTGGGCAGGGGATTTAGCTCAGTGGTGCCGCCTCCTACCTAGCAAGCTCAAGGTCCTGAGTTCAATCTCTGATACCCGAAAAAAAAAAAAAAAAAAGCTCATTATTTTTAGTATCTGCCATATGCCAAAAGTCATTCATATCTGTCATTTCACCTTTACCCCATGAGGAAAGTATTTTATCACCATTTCAAGTATTCACCCAAAGGATACTCTTTGGGAGTTGATGCAAGCATCTGCACCCTAAATGGTCTGGCTCCAACCCATTTATTTGTCTTTATACTCATTTGGCCTCTGGTCAGTGATGAGCACAGCCTTAATATAATATCATCATCTTCCAAAAATTAATATCTGTAAATGGAATACTATTTAAAAACTTGGGGAGGCACTTAACTTAAAAGCTTTATTTTCTCATTTGTGAAATGGGGGGAAGTTAGGTTTTACTACTGCCTCTAAGGTTTTTTCCAGCTCAAAAAATACTACAATTTTAAGATACAGACTTGAAAGTCTTACATAAGATCCTGTTAAATCACAGACTCTCTCCTAAGAGCTTTCAAGCTAGTTTTCAAATCATAAATTATAAGGCAGGAAAAAAAGTCTCGACTAATACTTGCTGATTATACAGTTGGATACCAGATACAGGTGTCTACCTTTACTTTTCAGGACTACATCGATGACAAAGTGAGAGATCTCAGACTTCACATAATTTAGTCTAAAAATCAAGGAGGAACATTGGAAACATTTGAAAGTCTTAGCTGTAAATACAATTTTAAAAGTCTTAATTCTACTTAAACGTTCCTGTTTTTTTATTCCATATTCTTGACGTTGTATTTTTCTTTTCAAGCTTTTAAATGCATTGAAACACTATACTTTCGAACACTTTCAACACCAAAAGAAAGAAATCAGGCTAAAACCTCAGTCTGGATTGGCAAGCAGGGGAGCCTTAAAGTAATCATCCAGCTCTTGAGCTGCAGCTGATGTGGAAGTCTAGGAAATAGTCCGTCTTCTCATAGTAAACAAGGTGTAGTAACTCATTATCTCTGCTATGCCTGTGCCAAGTCAGAAATAGAACACAAACAGAGTCAAAGGGGAAACAGAAGGCAGAACCAAGGCCCAGGAGCTCCATTCCATTTCCGATTTTTACTCATTTCTGACTCTGCACACTGTGGGTAGCTGAATGCTCCTATCTAGGCACAGGCACTAGGAGAAGATAGGATAAGCATGAGCATAAGGATGGTGATAAAGGTGGTGAAAACAAGGGGAACAGAGTGGATCAAGAAACTATCCTTGAAAATAAGAAAATGCGGATGGACAAATCTACTACAAAATTGTAAGAAGGGTTTTACTTCCCTGCCATCTGCCATAAGCAGCAATGTAAAAGTCACACACACACACACACACACACACACACACACACACACACACACACACACAAGGGTATTCCTTTTAAATAAGAACACTCATTTTTAGAATACTTGAAAAATCTAAAAATCTCTAACACTTGCAGGTGACTAGAGCTTCAAGATGGCTGAGGCTGGAAAGCTATCAATGGATTTCCTCTCCAGTCAGCAAGAGGAAAAGGGACCCCATGAAATTTTTAGAAATGTTCTAAATGATACACAGAAACACAGAGGAAGTAAACACCATCAAGGCTACAGAATACAAAATTTAAGCTTAGAGAACCTGAAAAACAGAAAGCCTAAGGACATAACCCTATAAACTAGGAAAACAAAGAATTAAGGCCAGCCATGAGTTACCCACAGGCCAAAGACACCCAAAACTAAGCAAAATGAAGCTTCCACAAATAGAAAAGTTTGCAAACATTAACTAGTATGTGTGTGGAATTTCTAAGGTTAAGGTGACAGCTACTACTGAAATTAAAGAAAGTCCTTCAAATTAGAGTGACCTTAGTCAAACTTCAGTCAATACTGAGGAATAATTATTTACAGTATCCCCATTAACTCACAAAAATTTCCCCGGATGGCAAGTGAATTGTCATCTTACTCAAAAATAATATATAATCATGGAAAGGTGATGAATTTTTAAAATGGAAGAAACAGCCTTCTGTAGCATAATGGCTTTGCACTCTGATCTCAGAAATACTTTTTGGGTGTATCCACTCAACCACTTAACTGTTTCATCAGCCAGTCATTCAGCAAGGTTTCTTGAGTCACAGCAAATGTCTCAGCAATGTACAGGCACTGGGACAAATATATAATGTTTAAGACCAGGCCAGAGGGGAAGCCTTGAGAGGGAACAGTTTTTGTAAAATACAGAAAACTCCATTTAGAAATGTTCAGGGTCATATAAAATCTTTACAAAAGCATACTTAAACGCGCATACACACACACACACACACACACACACACACACACACACTTCTTTAAATCTCAGGCTTCAGCAGATATGCCAGCAAAAGAAAAAACTTGGCAAGATTTATCCCCTAAGAAACTGAAATGTTGTAAATATAAAGGCCAGCACATATGAGCCCTTCCGAATTTTGGTAAATAAATCCCACTAATCTTTAAAAATTGTAAGGTAAATTTTAGGCAAGGAAATTACTAGAGTAGAAGTTATGAGTTTCAATTCTCTTTCCCAAAACATGAAGAGAAAGAACAGATAGTACTTCTCAGTGACAATTTAAGGAGAGACCATAATTTTTTAAAGAATTTGGAAAAAATAGAATTTTTAAAATTCCATTCAGACTAGTAAAAATATTTTGTAATCACTAGTCTCAAAGTCTACTTTAAAAACAAGCTAGAGATGTGAACAAAAATATCTTCCAACTAATGAAATACTGAGCGGAAAATGGTTTTACTGCCAACGTACCACACACAATGAAGGAAAAAAAAGCTTAGCTTTACCTAACTCAGTAGATGTTACCTCAAATGATCTTGCTTTATCATTTGCGAGTTGTAAAAATTAAATCACCAAAGGTTTTGAGGAAGAATTACACTGGGTGTGACTTTTCTAAAACCATCCCTGACCTCACCAACATGGTAAAAGATAACCCATAATTGGTTCAGTAAGAAAAAAATGTGTTTCTCTTTCTAGTATCAGATCTTTTAATAGTAACCCCCTTAAAAAGTGCAGCACTCATTTTCTTTCCACTTCTGCTATTAAATATTAAACACAGGTTACCAATATATTCTCAAGTAAAGTCATCCTTCTACTTTTAGAAAAAATATTCAGTTTCATTGCAAATATGACTGATAGTAACCGGAACTGTAAATCTACATGAAGTCTTTACAGGAAATTTACTTCTTAGGAAGCAAACCAGAACGGTACAGGTGTACATGGTAGCAGTGACTAATCTGCCAAAGAAAGCTTAAAATCAGGTTCTCATTTTGACAAGCTGGTGACAAAATTCAAGTTTCCTTCTTGGGTAAGAGCCGATCCACCGCCTCAGGCTGCAAGTCAGCAAAGAAAACTTAAATCGTGTATCTAAAGCTTCTTTATTCCCACTACTCGAAATGTTTTTAAAGAACATTAAAACAGCTCTCCTAAAACTACAGAAATTCACCGAGAAAGTAATAAGCAAATTCAGTTACGCAAGTCAATAAAAATATGTTCTAGCTTGGTACTAACAGCCCCATTTGCAATGAAGTAACCCAAAACTTTGCCAAAAATATGCAGGACATCAATTCTTACTAAATTAAGAGGTCACTTTGCTTATTCTTAAACTTCACCCTGTTTGCTCTAAAACTTATGTTGTATATAGTTACAGAACGTCAAATTTGAGAGACATTCATCAAACATCAGAGTGTAAGCATAAATCTTGGCCTTATATTAATGAAGTAGCCAAAGCGTCTGCAATAATAACCAATATTGCATTATCAAATGCCTGGGAAAATACACTTTCAGAAAGGATCATTTCTATCTCCTGGGGTCTACCCCGAGATTACCACAAGATTAGAAAAAAATGAAACCTACTAACTTTTAATTGTAGGGTGGCCTTTAGGGTCTATCTTTCTCCACGGGCTTAGAAAAAGTAAAAAACAACTCTAAATTGTAGGGTGGGTTTTTGAGAAAAACAATGCAAAATGAAGAGTCTCAGTAAACGCAGTGCAAGAACTGTTCTTTGGGCAGGAGCGGCAAGCTCACTATAAAACGCTGCAGCCTTCATGCTTCCTCCTCTCTGCAGGATTAGGAAGTTCCCAGCTCCAATTTTACCTGTGCACCACAGCCCCTGACATCCACTTGCAGAAATCCACGCACCCACTTTCGGAAGCCACTAACCCCGCGGCGCAAAGTGGCGTGGGTGGAGAAGCAGGGAGTCCCTGAGGATGCGGAACCCCCCGCAAGGAGAAAAGGACGGGGCCTTCGTTCCTGGCACAGATTTGCGGATTCCACCAAGAGCAAGAGTTTGGCAGCTTCACAATGGGCCGCTACTTCGGGTCTGAGCACTGCCCTCCTCGAAACCCTCTCCTACGCTCCCCAGCGGCCCCGCGACAGGTGGGGCGAGGGCGGCGACATCTGCCGCTCTGGCTTCCGGCCGGCCCCGGG